CTCCTGTCTCATTTTATTATTTTTCATTAGTAAACCATGATGCAAAAAAAAAAAAAAAGGGTGCAGAAAGGTATTACTAAAGACGAAATTAGACTTGACCACCTTTGCATTTAATGTACAAGCAGCATCAGCTACTGCATGATGGCTGAGGATTACCATGGCAGCAATGAAGGGACATTGAAGGTATCCCTCAATGAAAATAGCACCTTTGACGGAGGAATTTTCCTCAGGACCACCCAGAATAGGTAAGGGTTAAATTTCCCCATCAACAAATATCGCTGTCTCACCAATCTATCTTTGCAAGGCTGGCTGTACAAATCATGCTTAGGCTGGCCTCAAATGATCCACATGAGCCCTAATATGAGCCCTTTCATATTACTTTAAATTAGTTGCATCAGCCTTACGTAGCTGAGATCTCATATTTAATATTTCATATTGTTCCATTCTTGTAATGTTTATCCCCTACATCTAAGATAGCTAGATAAGGCAGATAAACAGATATGCATTTAAAAAGACAACATACTAGCATCTTTCCCTGCAGTTTTTCCCCGTGATTACTCTATGGCACAGACTGGGATCAACCCAGTCAGCATTTGTGGTTGAGGGTGAAATTGAACGTGGCTCTCCCTCATTTAGATCAAACACTTTAACCACTACCCCACATTAGCTCTTCACATGAAAAAGTTTCTGAGCTTATGGACAGAAGAACAACAACAACAAAAACCCTACATCTGGTCTACGCTTAAGATGTTGGACTGTATAAATATAATTGATCTAGTATTTTGGAAATAAAATGGAATATGGAGCAACTGATAACATTTTCTTGTCCCTTAGTGGAAAAGCTTATTTTTATAGCACTGACCTCTCTCAATGTTGTCTGGCTTCTTTTATGGCTGTCCAGACAATTTAAAAAACGATCAATCAAATCTTGGTCGTCCATTAAAAATATCTATGTGGGAATGAAATCTTCATTTTGAAGTTCTCTACAAAGAACTTTCCATGTGCTTATGTTGTTCAAACCATCTTCTGTCCTAGTGTACACGGTGCATTCTCTTTTATTGTGAAGAACGCATCCCTTTTTCTTAAGATTTTTAAATTAATTATTGGATTAAGCAATGATCAACCAAGAATTGAATAGTCTAAAAATGTTAAGCAAACTAACAAAGGGATGTCATTAAACAGTGTGGGCTTCTTCTTCTAGTTTTGATTTAAAAGAGCAAACCAAATTATCCCTTCCTTCTCAGTTCTCATAAATTTCTTAGCTTCCTCTTAAATTAAAAGGGGAGTGGGATCTGACTTTCATCTATAGTATTTGTGAATATTGTTACTATATTCCAAATCTGTGATGGTTGCATCACTGTAAACCGTAACTTGATACTGTGACTAAAATTAGGATAATGTGGAAATGTAGGACATTTTATAAAATATATAAAAATAGGATTGTGTCTAATTAATGTCATCTATTGACAGAATAGCTCTCATCAGCATGCTGTCCCTCACAAAACATCTACTCCTGCCAAGCATCGGGGGGGCGGGGGAGGGAATCAAAGAGAAAGTAATAGTTCACAAGTAAATAATATGGATCTCACACTTGTGGATAATAAATTAGCCATTACGGTATACTTTGCTATAGATCCATTATGAAAAGGAGACTCTTGCACACAATTAATTGATTGCCTAGCTTGCTCTTCCCATTAATGATGCAGTCCCTACCCAAATGTATGAAAGCAATATCTGGACTTCCGTTTCAACAATACTGTAAATTTAAAATTTGGATGTGTTGGGAAACAAAATTCTCTGTCCAACAGAAGAGCTCCCTCTTCTGTCACTTTTTTGAAAAAAAAATATGGAGCAGTGTTTTATGCAGCCCTTGTATTCTTCAAGTGAAAATTAGGGCATCTTAACCATACACTTCTCAAAACGACACATAGGCTGTGTAATTCAGCATATCAGAGAAGGGGGGAAAAATCAGAAATGTGGTATTTTTGTACATCTCTACAGGGCAAGCACCTAGGCTAGCCAGCTTGAAAGGACAGGAAAAGATTTTTGAGACTGATCTTGTTCCTTTTCTCACTTTCAACTCAGCAAGAATTTCCTACAGAGAACAGTCCATGGTTATTTATTGATTAACTAATTAATTAAAAACGTTAAACAGCCCAATAGCCTAAGCTTGCTGGGTGGTTTATACTAACAAGGTTAACCAATAAGGTAAAATGACCAGAACTGTAACTAACAGCAAAAGTAAACCATAATTGTACTTCAAACTTAGGGTGGATATACCAAACGAACTCTGTGAGCCATAATAGAAAGAGCAGTATGCAAAAATCAGGAGTAGTTGCATAAGACTCAACATGCAAGAAACATTAATGCAATATACAGAAATAAGCAATCACAAGAAAAGATACCCAGTTTACTTGCCTAATTATTTATCCCTTACCCCTTATATTTTTATTACTCTCCACCTTAACACTAACCATGCAAACCAAAATAATCCAAATTGTCCTTTGTATTATTTACAAGCTAATGAAGAAAACTTAGAGGGTGAGCGGAACTCTGTAGCTGACACTGGAAATATTGGGGAATTCTGAGAGCAAATCTTCGCTGACTATTCTATTCTCTGTATTCCAATTTCAAATTAATATAAGAACTTATTGGTACATAAAACCATAAATAAAACAGGACACACAGTGACCGACTGGCCTCCCTTTCCCCTTAGCTGATTTTCCCTTGGCATGTGGCAGCCTGGGACGGTGGGGGGGAACAGAAATAAGTGCTTTTTTCAAACGATTTTGAAATATTTCCTAATATTTCCACTTTAAGTATTATTAAAGTCTTTAAGATCAGGAAGAAAGAATCTAAGTTTGGAAAGACTCCAAACAGGTTTTACATGATTGTTATATTGTTTTTAACTACATTTAGTCATTGTTTCTGAAGTTTTCTTTTCATTCTGCTGGCCACTGACAGTACTGTAGTTAAATCTGATTTGATCTGGAAAGACTCAAATCAAGAAATAAACTAATACATGAAAGCTAAAGAAGTTTGTCTCAATGTGGATAAAATTTCAGAAGTCCCTAAAATAATGAAAATAAGACATCAGATGAAACTGCCAGAATGCCATCCCACATCGCACAAATGTAATATCACGTAACAATTCTGATGGAATTAGAGCCAATCCCAGAACTGTTAGGGGTCTGCTTAAAACTTCTAAACGCATCTTATACCTTTGAAATGCTTGCTTATCTCAAGTGAGTCCAAAACTAAATGAGTCATTTTTTTACTTTAACATAGCCATATTCAGCTCAGCATCTGAGATAACTAGCTGCATTAAAGTGCAAACAAATACTAAAAGAAATGGTTTTGAGTATTCTGGCATGCGTTAATTGATCTGATCTAACCAGCATCAGGAGAGCCAGTATGATATAGAAGTTAAGGTGCTGGATTAGGAGTGGGGAAACTTGAGTTCTAGTCTTGCCCTTAGGTGCGGAAGCCAACTGGATGGCCTTGGGCCAGCCACTGTCTCTCAGCCCTAGGAAGAAGGTAAGGGCAAGCTATTTCTGAAAAACATTTTCAAGAAAGCTTCAGGGACATGTCCATGTAGTTATCAAAACAAAAAACAAATCAAAACACCCTAACACTGTGTAATGAGCATGAAACTGAGCCAACTCAGGGAGGCAGTGAAGGACAGGAAGGCCTGGCGCGATGTGGTTCAGGGGGTCATGAAGAGTCGGACACAACAACTGAACAACAACAACAACAACAACGCTGTATAAATGATACTAGGAAACCAAAGAAAGCTGCCAAAAAGACAGAAAGAGAGATAACTCCAACTGCAGAAAAAAATAGCACATTATTAATATATTGGAAAAATCACCATTTACTGTTTTTTCCAGATGGTTTCATATCAGCCCACCTGTACCACATCAGATGCTTCTGGTTTCAGACCTAATCAAAAGAGGTTAGCCTAAGCACCATTTGATTATTGCAATTTCAGATTTATAGGCTGAAATGTGCACATCTAAACCTCCAACATTTTAAAGTTTTTGTAAAAAGAACAAGTTCAACAAATAATTTGATTTTACTCAATGTTTCCATGTAAGGCAGGTCTCTCTTTTTTGTCCTTTTTTTAAAAAAAGCATACTCTTTGAATCTCACTATAGCTAAGCAGTCAAGATTCCTGAACGGACAAGTCAACAATCAGAAAGTAGGTGTGATAACTGTCCTCCCTGCCCCTCCAGCAGGAATTAAATGCTTGATACAGGGCTGATTTAATCTTTATTTGAAGCCCAAATTAAGCTCTTTTTCAAAAAAGAGGTCAATCACGTCATATCAAGTCCCTAATGCTTTGTTTTTTGAAAGCCACATGACAGGAAACATCCACAGTCAGATATTCTGCCTAAATACTGTATGCTCCTGGAGTCAATTCTGTTCTGATGATGTTTAATGTGCTGATAATCTATCAGGCATCCTTTGGCAGAAAAGTATTGATACAATATTTGGATAAGGCAATTCAGCCAGAATATGTTCTTCATCTTCTCCATATAGCTCCCTGTACTTGGTGATGCTATCACTGGTTTCTCCCTGCAGTGTGAAGCAAGTCAACAATAAATCCTCACATGTCTTATTAATGATTGCTACAGAACTGGGTCTGAGAGTCAAATTAAAGAGAGACGGGGATCCTAATCACCTCTAGCCAGAGGTCCTTCCATCTCTTATTTATGACTGGAATAATCAGGGTCAGCCTGTGTACATTCATCAGAAAGAGTTAAGGGAAAATGTACTCAAGGATTAATTATAGCTATTCCCAGGAGGAGCAAATGCATCTACAGCATGAGGAAATGAACTTTAAAAAATCCCCTCCATTGTTAATTGGAAAGAAAAAAGGTTATTTTAACAAAGTGCCTTACATACACACGCATACGTATATACAATTCATTCCCATTCTACTCTAGGACTTCTGTGAATGCCACTCGAGGCACATTCAGTTTACTGTGAGTAGAAGTACATATAAGACAGAATTAAGAGAAAAATAACAATTCAAATGGTGTCAAACTATAGAAAGCAGTATTTGAGCTTCTTTTTTTTTTTTTGCTTTTGTCAAGATCAATTTTTTTTTTTTTGGTTACCTTATCGCAGAATTCAGTAAGGGCTGTGAAGTCCCATTTCTTGGCATAGGTAATATTATACCTGAGGATAGCTTCCTACAAAATAAAAATATAGCAAAAACATGAGCAATAGGAAAATGTAGTTTTTGAATAAACTGCACCCTCTGCTGGTAAAATACTATTTGGCAATAGATGTAATGGCACTGATGTTTGCAGAAAAAAAATTTTTTTAAAAAAAAATTAAGGATGGGAGTGGAAATCTCTGAAAGCCTTCTACTTCCATTCTCATTTTTAAGGACTCCCCAAAGATTCCAACAAACAGCCTAAAACTGCCATTTGGGACACCTCTTTCATCCTCTTTCTCCCGTTTGAGTTTTAAGGATGGGAATATGAACAGGAGGCCTCAGGGGCTAAAGCAGGCTCATTCCTACCTTTAAACCCCCCCCCCCCCAAATCTTCCAAATGGCCTGAGAAAGCAGCAGTTTGGAATTGAGTTTTGGGAATCTAGGGAAGGCTCAAGGGATGGGAAATAGGAATAAAAAGCCATGTGCTCCAATCCTCACCTTTAAATTCCCCCTCAAAGTTAAAGAACAAGTTGGAAAAAAAAATAAGGCTGCACCCTTTCTGAATTTCACTGATGCAGTCTTGGGATACTGAGTGGTCACAACGTTTTGCTCAATCTTCTTTTTTATATGTTGCAAAATTCTAAAACGTCCAATCTGGCATGATCCGTTACTATTCCTTAATCATTTTTCTCTTAAATCATTATCCCTTTTTCTCTGTTCTTAAGGCTGATTGAAAAAAGGGACGGGGTAAAGTATACTGCCAATGCAGTAGTGTACTGACTCTCTCATCAACCTACCCAGTAACGCAATATTGGCTCCCCCCTTCTGCACCTGTATCATTCTTGGGCTATACATCGCAATAATTCATCATGCCATTTTTCATGCTTATGGAATCCAGCAATATTGACGGATATTCATTTAACCGTGAAGCATTAGGTCATTCGTCTGAGTCCCACTTTATCAATCTCTTGAGCCAGCTACCCCCTTTAACAGCAACTCTATCATGTTAAGGTCAACCAGTTATTTCGATGGATTAGGTGACAGCTTGGAAAAATAAGCGCCAGAATGGTAGCATGGGTGATCTATTCCAGTTTTCAAATTCATTTTTATCACCCACCCGGTGAAATTCAAGCTAAGACGAAGCAGTGGAGTGAGCTTAATTAGATCAGCCACCACTGCTTGAGTGTAAAAGCCAGAGCTACAAATAATAATCCTTTTACAACAAGAATCTGATCTATGTTTGATCTAACCGTCTTTAGTAAAGTGCCATCTAGGTATAGGTCAAGTGGGGGCCCATACAGGAGGCATCTGAAGAACTTTGTGAATTTGGGCTAAAAAGAATTTATCAATAGATGGAAGCTTTCTGCAAGGATTAAGCTGCAATCTTATTGTCCGGGGGAGATATAACCAGCACAGTAACATTTTTTAGATTTCTGCTCCCTGAAGCCAAAGAGAAAAAGACCTGATGTCTGAAGGAGAAAACCCAAATCTTAACCCCCTCTTCAGCTCCTAAGGCTCTCTCTTTCCAATACTGGAGGTCCAAAAATAAAAAAGGAGATATGCTAAAGGCGCAGGTACGCTGGACCTTAAGCCATCCTGACTTCCTTGATGCTCAATCCACCCAAACTAGCACGCGGTCCAAACAAGCTCTTGAACTGATGCAAGCTTACTCACTTTGAATAATTTTAAAGGGAGGAAATCCTTCCCTGAACCCCCCCTTTTTTGTTTTTTTAAAAAAAGGAAGCAGTAACAGAACAAGAGCCTAGCAGGAAGTAATGCTTCTAACTGGCATCCCAGCAAAATGAAGGAGCTATAGTCAAGATCTAACAAGAAAATGTGATGTAAATATATGCATGTACCTCTATTTTTAATTCTTCCAAGGGAAGAGATACTTAGCCCTATGTATCGTTCTGGTAACTAACTGCACCCTAGCAATTATTCTTCAGCATAATGTATAATATCTCCTTCTTCAACAATAATTTTTTAAAATTATTAAAAAATCACCAGCATCCATAAAAAGTCACTCTTCTAATAACCAAACATGTCTCCTTGTCCAAAATGATAAATTTTAACTATAACTGCCCCTGTGATGAGCCACAAGCCAGTTACCATATTGTAAGTTATTATAACTAAATTTACTTGTAAATTATTGTAAGGAAATAAGCAGTATAAGCCATATTTGATTGTACAGTTTAAGTAATTAATCAATACTAAAATTCTGCATCTTCATAACCATTGTGGTGGTGGATTCTGCATTAAAAACCATCCCCTATGTAATTTCATAAATAACCTTCATAAATAACTGTTTGCATTCTCACAACCTCCGTTATGAAGAGCATATTATAAATTAAATTATAGCATTCAGTGTATTGCATATGTGGATCAAAAAGCAAATAATTCTTTAGCTGATTGCAGTTTATAACTGAAAAGTTTTTACCTTCAAATCACGGGAACTGGTGAATTTCTTGAGCAGTGAAGTCTGGATTAATTCCCATCGGCTCCCAGCAGTCCTGTCCCCGTTCTTTATAAAGAACAGACATTTATATACAATATTAAAACCATTCAGCTAAGAAAATCATCTTAAGATTTACTATCAACTGAGAACAAAACAAAAATGTCTGTGCGTGGGTATAATTTATAAAACATTAACCAAATTTACAACTGTGTTGCCATTAGGAAAGGAAGTATGAAGCATTTACTTAAAATTTGAGACTACTGTACATAGTAAGCAACCTTTTTTTCCCTACTAATCAGTCACCATAAACATAATCTAGCCTCACCCTTTCTACTGGAGGTGATTTTATTGCCACCTAAGAAGGGTTTATAGGACACGGATCTCCCACACACCTGATCTCCTTCAAAACTGAGCACTGCAAATGAAACCCTTACAATTATGACTAGACACTCCCTCCTGCAAAATCCAATGCCAACTTCATTCCAATGATTTATAAAGTGATTTTCAGATAATATAAACATGCAACAGATAAAGCATGAGAAAAATGTTTTAAGTCACATGGCCCTCAATTTTTGGGGAAAAGCAGAAAGTTCTTTAAATAAGAAAGCCCTGATTTTTGCTTGCCAGTCTAACTGATCTTAGGGTGGGCAGAATCCTTGAAACAATATGACGAGCATGCTCACAGAAGTGAAGGTGATCCTTGAGGTGAACAGGTTCCCAAACCACTTTTGGCCTAGAAGTTAAGCTCAACTCTTTGAACTGAACTCTAAAACACATTCAGAATAAATGCAACCGGCACAAAGTGGTGTTACCTATTCAGACTTCCTGGGCCCCATCAGTAATTTGGCAGCACCAAGTGAAATGGTGCTTCTCAAGAATTGTACAGTTACAGCTTGACATCTTCAGCTGACTGATAGTAACAGAACCCAGCTCTTTTGATAACTTCTTTTGATTTTGTAGAGATATTGAATAATGTGGCAGAAAAGTTATCCTATAAACTAAATTCAGCACTAATGTCTTGAAATACTATCGCAACATCTGGCTCAGATAACAAGGCACAAAAAGTTGTTGAGAAAGCCAGCATGCTCTCCCAGCCTATTTCTCCCCTTAAATCCCATCTATACTTTAATATTCCCACATATGGACACACGGTGACATGCACACTTCTCCCATTTTCTTGTCAATGATAGACTCTTTGTTTCACTCCAACTTTATTATAGTCCTGCTCACCCAGTAAACTTATTATCACATTCTAATATTGAACCTCAATGATTTCACATAACATTGTTAATTTTTTGCTTGGGAATATAGAACAGCTTGGAACCATAGTTTATAGACCATGAAAGTATAAGGCTGGCTTATGGAAATGTCATATTCATTTTAACAAAAGCTTTACTAACTATAAACAGGAAAAGAGCTGCCATGCATTATACTGGATTTACAGAATTTATGCAGTTATGATTATTAGAAATAGTCAACCATCAAACATGATGATAAAGTAACGCAACAATTACAAAAGGCATTTAGAGCATAGCTAAGAAACTTAGAAGACCCTGTGGCTTAAGTAGGTAAACAATATTGCCTCACCTCATCTTCTACAGGATATAAATTCTGTTCTGAGCAAGGCATTTTCACATGTTTATTGTCCCACAAATCCTTATAATGTGTTGGGAAAGGTTTAGGTACTTCTCCTTCCTTCAGAAGATCTACCTGCAACAGAGAAGATATTCTGAGAAACAGAAGCAAATCACTTGTAAACTTAAGATCTTTATCTGCAACACCTCAACACTTTTCCAACCTCAGCATAAATATACAGAGGCACTCGCTGACTTAGGTAACCATTCTGTTCCAGAAAATCTTGTGTAACTTAATTTTTTTGCACAAGTTGGGTATTCATCTGTGCTCTGTGGTGTTTCAGGCAACGTTTACATGTTCACAGACCTTAGACGTGAATATACTTGCATCAGTCAAATTCCCACAAGTCCTAGATAACCCAGGGAACATTGGTAACTATATCTAACATGTTATATCGAACAATGCAACCTATGCTTATTTTACACCAAACGGATGTTGTTATTTTAACTACAGTGCAAAGCAACTCATTCCAAATGAGGATGTTTTCGAAGCAACTGCTCTCCCTGATACTGAGCCACTAATGCAGGTTCAAGGTTTTGCTTAAAAGCCCTAAGAAATGATCACTGGGCAAGGTCCTACTGCATGTGCTGAAAACTACAGACTAGCATCTTGTCGTTACTCCACAAGATTCTCTGCAGCAACACTATATTCTGGAATACTCTCTCAACTTAAAAGTCACAAGCCACAAACTCTTCCATCTATTATAGACCCATCTCTTCTCCAAATTTTCTCTGTATCATAAAATGAAACCCCTGTGAGTACCTCAAAACCATGTGGTGAATAAATCTGTAGGACCCACCAAAAAGGAAAAGACTAACCATATTTCATATTTTGATCAATTAACCCCCAGCTGGCATGAAATCCACATCTCCCCACCAAATCAGAAGGTGACAAGGAGAGTGATCCTACACAGCCCAGTCTGGAGCACCAGATTGTCCAACATTCTTAGACAGTTTCAGACACTGAAATAGTGGGGGGACGGGGGACGGGGGGGACACAGCTACCCCCAAATTTGTGGATGACAAAAACCAAGAAGCATACCTGAATATTTGTTATCACAAGAAAGAGCCACTGTTTATAGCAAAAATGTTTTTATAAGATCAGAACATTGGCGACATTCCAATCATGCAGCGGTCATTGGCACCAGAAACCATAACAAAACTCTCCCCTCCTATACCATATCCAACACTCTTTTCTTTACCCATTTGCCTCGTCCTCAGCTACCATTTTGGCAAAAAGAGGAGCAGGTCAGTGTTCCCATCCCAACAGTGGCCCATCTCACCAAGTTCTCATTACAGGAAATGGCGTCTCCACATCGTCCCTTCGCCTGTGGAAGGGAACCTCCCTGAATATTTGAACTACGAAGTACAAACAAGCTTTACCCTCCCCTTTGTCTTATTTTCTCTCCCTCTCAAAGAAGCTGTAGTGAGATTTCACTGCCGTAAGAAAATACAGAAGGAGAATGCATCGTTTTGGCTTACAAATACTAAAAACTGACTAGCAGTGCATGTATTGGAGACATAAGGACACACACCTGTATTTTTTTATCTCAAAACAATCCACTAGTGACAAGTGTAACTGATGTAAAACAAAAGATTTCCTTCCTTACTTCCCCGCCTTCAGTCCCAATGGCTTCCAACCAATCTTGAGTAGATAAATGGTGAAGTGTGGGAACAAAATGATAGGTCTGAAATCAAGAAGTCAGGAAGAAGTCTCCTCTAAGTTTTTTTTTTTTAAAGATGAAAACATCACCAAGCCTATTGATACCTGTGTTTATATGAAACATACCATTGTCTCCCAATTTTTTCTCTTTCTGAGTTCCAAAGTTTTGGAGTGTCAGGATGTAGCACTCTAAATACTTCCACAACCTACAAAGTGTCAGCTTTAATCAAGATTGGAACAGTGTCTGTCCAGGGCCACTCTGGAAAAAAGTTTCACTAGTAAAGGAAATTTCATACTCTGATTGTAACTGTATGGTTGGCAGATGGTCTCAAATGAGGAAGATGAAGTCCACAGATTGGCAGTCTTCGCATCTCTTCAATTGGTGTCCCAAACCACTTTTTATTAGTTGGAAGTGAGGGAGGGGTATATTTACAATACTTTCTTCCTGGTTGATGTTCATTCCTGGCATTGAAAAATTAAAATAAAACGTACATTATATAAATAAAAATAATGAGCAGTAAAAAGGACTATAACAAACACTAAAACTAACAAGGATAAAATATTTAGTACTCAAAACCTGTCAGCTAACATGTTAAAAGAATGGGCAAATAGAGGAGCCTTTACTGAATAGCAACACAACCTTTGTACCATATAAGTGAGTCTGATCCTTAGAAACAATCTCATTCAGAAAAGCATAAATTCCTCTTCCCATGCTATAGTATCCATTATGATATTAAATGTCCACTTTCCAGATTGCAACATCTGGTATAATTTTGTGAGAATTGTGGATCAGCTCATTGGTTTCCTTCCAAAATATTATTAGCCCCAACAAAGATTTAGCACTGCTATTGCCCCACCTGAATTAGATGAAAAAAGAAATAGAGGTAAGTTCTGCTAACCTATCAATGGGATCTCGCTCTCAATATCTCACCCAATGGTCTGATGTTCATGCTGAATAGCACAGAGAAGAAAAAATGGTAGGCCAAATAAAAGAGTAATTTTAGAGCTGAATGCCATCTGGATATGAGATAAAGCACTATAACATTTTAGTCCAATGCCAGCGTATCAAGGAGGATACTACAAAGTTTGAGCACAAACATGCATTTTGTTCTGAATTCAGGCAATACATCCCCATCTGAAATATTTTATCAGAACACTTTCAGTGCACCATCATAGGACACAATCAAAATTTGAAACATGAGTTCTCTTTTTCATTCTTTTTAGGGCCACAAAAGAAGTTGAAAGTTTGGATTAAACCTACTGGAATGAGATTTCCTACTGGGCGGCCCCCACTCTGCTGCTGTTTAGAAGACCTGTGAAGACCTGGCTTTTCACCCAGGCCTTTGGTGAGGAAGAGGGAGACCCCTTACTTCACTTTGCTTGCCATCTTTTATCTTTATTTTTTACGTTTTATTGATTTTATTGCAATTTATTTGATTGTTGTAAGCCACCCAGAGTTGTTGAGTCGGGCAGCATACAAGTTTAATAAATAATAGTAATAATAATTGGCTATGAGGATGATTT